TACAGAGGACTCTGAGTTGGCAGTTCCCTTAATTCCTTGTCCTTTGGGAGCAGGAGTATGAGAATGGCCCTCATTACTGTGGGGCAGGGTTGAGGCCTTGGCTGGAACCCATCTGTGTTTAGAGTGAAGCTGTGATTGAAGCAAGGTTTGTCCCTACATTAGGGGCGTGTCTTAGAGGGGTAGGAGGATGTGAATGAGTTGAGCCCATAAGATGGTCACTCCTTAAAGAGCAGTTATTTCAGAGAGAAAGTGAGAAAGAGAAGGGACAGGGAAAGGCAGCCAGTAGATGGTGGGCAGACTCCACACTCCTGATGGCAGAGGGCTCACCAGGACCCTTAAGGCCCTCTGCTGCTGCTGCTGCCCCTGCCTCTACTGCAACAAAGACCCTGACCTTTGGGATTATAGGGGACAACAGCTAGGGCACCTGTGTGGCACAGCCAAGGGATTAGTCAAACTTGATTTAAGACTGGAGAACTTAAACTCTATGAACCAACTAGTTGTTATTGTGGAGGTTCCTAACTCTGATGACACTGATGTGAAGCCCTCTCAAAGAACAATGTATAAATACCAGGGTAGAGAGGACACCCCATTCCCCAAAGTATATCCAGTGACCTGAAATACAAAACAGGGAAGGATAGCAGAGAGGGAACAAGAGGATAAAGGTACTGAAGAAGAGGTCCACAATTTGACCCAATTAGAAATCCAAAATACACTAAAAGAATTTACACAACAACAAAGATAAAAGGGAGCTCTTTGGCTTTTGATCTTCCAAATCATAGGTTTTGAATTCACGGTACCATCTCCTGTAATACACTAATTCACAACCCTTCATGCAGTTACTCACTGCTAGGTCTCAAATTACAGTTACACCTGGCTGGAATCTCAGTAAATTTCAGCAAAGGACCCCACAATCTTAGGGAAGTTCCTGAGTATAATGCAGAGGCCAGATTGGTATACTTCACCTTAACCATCAGAACTCTTTGCCATGCCTCACAATCAGGACCCACTGTTCTAAAATATCCCATAGTGAGCAGGAAAGTTCTGAATCAGTAATTCATAAATTAAAATTCAATTAAATTGTCTTCACCCCTTCCAAATTGGCTTCCCAAATGGGACTCCATGATCCTTACCCCTTAGTTACATTAGTTAATATGGCCTAGTGGAAATTAAACACTGCCTTCAAGGATTGAAAACTATTACAAGAAACCTATTCAGGAAGAAGTGATTATCCTCAGTGTTTCTACTTTGAACAGCCAGATTTGGCCTGTTCTTAAGTCTAGAAGGAATGAATGACACCTCGCAGTGGATTACTGCAACCTGGAGGCTGTGGTCACAGCAAATAGAGCCCTATACCCTGTCCCCAACATTATGGAAAGTACTGACTCCACCCACTCAGCACCTGGTAAACATTCTGCTCTCACAGATTCGGCTCAGTCTGTTCAGTGCTGTGTCCACAGCCTCTCGGCTGCAGTTGGCCTTCCCCTCTGAAGGCACAGGATACACCTTTACAGGTGACCTTGTCTTATTGCACTTCACTTCATTGCACTTTGCAGACATTTCATTTTTTACAAGACCTTTCACCAGCAAAAAGATTATGACTCACTGAAGACTCAGATGATGGTTAGCCTTTTTTAGTAATAAAGTATTTTTTAAATTGAGGAATGTACTTTTTTTAGAGATAAC